CCAGCAGCCAGCACCAGCTTCCAGATGTGAGGGAGGCTGAAGCCCGGACCAGTTAGCTCAAAGGCCCCCTGCACCGCGCATATATATTAACCTATGTGTAACTCCATCTATTGAAAAAAATCCGCATTATGAACTGGTTCACCTAGTATATTCAAATTATTGTCAATTCAATCTTAGGACTGCAATGACAACAGGTAAGGAACAGCAGTAAATATAAAATTGAGTTTTATCCTTCCCTACTATCAGAAATTTCTCCCCAAACCTAAATCTCTTTTTCCTATTTCCATCAGAATTTAAACTAAAATAATTGCATATGTACATACATACATAAAACAGCAGTTCTATAACTGTCAACCACAAGAAGTCTCACTCACTAGTAATTAGCATAGCCCCCTTTCCTAAAGAAAAACATTTGGGGGGGGGGTTAATGGGCAAGTGAATACTTCCTCCTTCCAGCTATCTTTTTTTCTTGAGTCCCATATACTAAAAATTTTTATTTCCTTCCTCTCATTAAAAGCAGGGAAACCAGGAGCTCTAAAAATATTAATGTAAAACAAAGTCAATTTATAATCTCCTTTTGAAGGGAATCAAAACTCTTTCGAGGCAAAATTGCAAGGAAAAAATCAAATATTTAGCCCTGGCCAGTTTTGCTCAGCGGTTAGAACAGCCATGGGCAAACTACGGCCCGTGGGCCGGATCCGGCCCGTTTGAAATGAATAAAACTATTGAAATAAAAGACCGTACCCTTTTATGTAATGATGTTTACTTTGAATTTATATTAGTTCACACAAACACAAAAAAAAAAAAAAGACTGTACCCTTTTATGTAATGATGTTCACTTTGAATTTATATTAGTTGACACAAACACTCCATCCATGCTTTTGTTCCAGCCCCCTCCGGTCCTTTAAGAACCCACTGTGGCCCTCGAGTTAAAAAGTTTGCCCACCCCTGGGTTAGAATGTCAGCCTGCACATCAAAGGGCCATGAGTTCGATTCCCATCAAGGGCACATAAGTCAGTTGCAGGCTAGATCCCCAGTCAGTTGCATGTGGGAGGCAACAAATCAATGTGTCTCTTTCACACTGATGTTTCTCTCTCTGTCTCTCCCTTCCCCCTTTCCCTTCCACTCTCTCTAGAAAAAACAATCAATGGAAAATGTATATTTGGGTGAGGATTAACAGCAACAAAAAAGGATCCCCTTTCATTAACATCTCAATTTGAGCAATAAATTATTGCTCCTTATTCTAAAAGCAACAAAAATATCCTCAGTTAAGAATTGACCCCAGAAAAGCTGGCTCCAGAAGATTGGGATCAACCCTGAATGTTTACGTGTTTCATTTACTTTACAAAAAAAAAAAAAACAAAAAAACATATCTACATAAAATACAAAACAAAAACCCTTCTGGGGTTTTTACTGGCAGTTGAACTATTCCCACATGTGGTCATCATAAAATAAGTCATTCCTCACACCATGAGCTCCTTGACTTGTAGGAGTTATCCTGCTGTGTTTTAGAATCCCTCCCCGGCATTGGTATTATAGTCTCATGGCAGTGAAATGTCTCTTGGTCATGTCCAGGTGTGTCTTTTACTGTGTGAATTCTGAATCATGTTCCAGTTGCTTGGCCCTGCCACATGGGCCCAGTAAGCATTTTGAGCATAACTACCAAGTCTTTTTCAGATCAGTATAATAAAGGAGTGATGTGTAAATAAATAAATAAATAAATAAAACTAAAAGAGTAATCAGCCTGTGTTATACTATTTATACTTTTTATAAAAATTCTTTCTCTTACCCACTACGGGTTTCAATCGCAAACACGATGAAGTTAACAGAAATTAAAATTTTGTTTTAAACAGGAGAAGAAAATAAAATTTAGTATCTAAGTGTTTTTAGAAAGGAGTCTTTTTTTTATTTTCTTACACTTCTGGCAGTCAATTGATTTATTCAAAAAACAAGGCATTATATCAACCTCAGAAATCTTTATGAAAAAAAAATTTTTAAAGAAATCTTTATGGCACAGCGCGATGGCGGAGGCTCCTTCAGGCAGCTGGAGGGGAATTTAGGCCCGGCAGATCCGAGTCCATCCGTGGTGGGGACAGGGCAAGCGTCTTCGGCAGGAGCGGCGCTTGGACTGTCCCATCCGCCCCCTATTGTGGCTCTGGGAGCGGCTGGGCGACTGGAAAGCGATGGTGAAAGCAGGCCGTGAGGGGGGCGGAGCCGGCAGCCCACCCGCAGTAGTGGCAGTGGCGGGCGCCGCCTCCCAGAGCTCAGACCCAGGAAGCGGCTGGGAGGGCAGGAGGGAGTCTGGCCTGCCTCCGCCACGGAGCTCAGAGTCGGGAACAGGTACTGACTGGGCCGGAAGATTGGCAGCGGCTCTTTTGGAGACATCTCTCTATCTCGGTATGGACATTGTGGCGGAAGAACTTGCAATCAAGCTTGAATGTGTCAAAACCAAACACCCTTAGCTCCACATCCAGAGCAAAATCTACAAAATGATGCAGGGAGGAGGGAGAGGCCCGCAGAGGTCCCGGCCAGAGTGCTTGCCCTCCAGCGGCCACAGCAGAAGGAAGTTTCTCAGGCACAACTTGTAAGGTGGTGAGGAGTATAACGAGGTGACTCAGGATGTGGCCTTCATGGGGGGAAGGAGTCAGGTGCTGGGGCGGTGAGGGAGGGGAAATAAAACTTCCCAACTTAAAAGCCTTGTTGACTGTTAAGGAGCAGCACCTCTGAACTCCCAAGCTAGGGCACCCCTGTCATCTGCACAGGCAGGAGCACACCTCGGAAGGATCAGACACGTCTCTAGATGGAGCTCAGTGCCTGGGGCGAGCACTGCTTCCCGCCAGAACCCTGCTCTAGGAGCCGGTGCCACTGCCCCAGTCTTCCCTGGCCCTTTCCGGGACCTGCCAGTACACCCGGACTCCGCCTTTCCCCACACAGATCCGGATTCCCCCAGTTTCAGACGCACCTTCAGTGGCTGCTATCCAGGTGTAAGACTTGTGTTTTACTTTATTTTTTTTTCCTGTTAATCCTCGCCTGAGGATATTTTTCCATTGATTTTTAGAGAGAGTAGAAGAGACAGGGAGAGACAGAAACATCGATGTGAGAGAGACGTCCTTTGGTTGCTTCCTGCACATACCCCAACCGGGGACGGGGATCGAGCCTGCAGCTGGGCATGTGCCCTTTGACGGGAATCCAACCTGGGACCCTTCAGTCCACGGGTTGACGCTCTATTCACTGAGCCACACCAGCCACAGGGCAGGCCTGTGTTTTAGAGAATGATTGCATCCAGAAAAGCGAGCGCCTCCTTCTGGGAGTGTTCTGTGAACTCACTGACCGAGACGGAGACCACGCTGCGCCAGGCAGAGAGGAAGTGGACATCACCTTGCCCAGAGAGCAGGGGCTCTGCTGTTAAACAGCCTTCTGCATGCGTCCCCGTGGGTACTAAAGGTCACTTGTTGCTGACCCGGGGAAAGGGTCAGCGTGTGGTACACAGGGACAGCAGGTGAGAAGTGAGCACCAGTCCAGCAAAATGCACTGCACCTCACTCTGCAGGTCCCCAACCACAGGGGTCTGGAAAAGGACAGATAAGCCCATGCTTCCCTCTCCTCCCCATAAATTCAAGTTTTACCCAAAGCTCTGGTTTCTAGCAGTGAATACAGAGTTGCATTCGTCTGTCTCCTAGTAAGCAACCTTGTGTCGACTTTGACAAAAGTTTCTTGCACCTTCATCTCCCCTTCTTTCCTCTCTCGACCCCATTGTCTACTGGCAGCCCCCTTCCCCCGCCCTTGGACTAGAGATTAAAGCAGCTCTGAGCCATCTAAAGGCAGGTGTCCCTGCATGAGTCCCATCTAGGAAAGACGGTCTGACCTCAGGAGGCTGGGATGGACTATTTCCGGCTTTTTCAGAATATTACACAAATCATTAACCCCTTCCCCGGCAGAAACGTGTATACACGTTTTCACAAAATGTTCTTTTTTCAGTCGTCGACGAGTATACTCGTCTAAAACTTTACCTTCAAAAAATTATGGAGACACCCAGAAATTTTAAAAATAGAAAAGAAATCTTTATGAATGGTCATACAATTTTATAAACAGGATGAATTGAAAAATAAGTTTGGGGACTCAAGGCTAGGAATGTTAAGTTTTAAAACAGATCTTACCCAAATGACAGAAAACTACCTCATTCATTTGTTAAAAAATGCTTTCCCCTCAAAAAAAAAATTTTTTCTTTAAAATGTATATAATCTCACCCGACCACAGGGCTCAGTGGTTGACCATCAACCTCTGAACCAGGATGTCATGGTTAGATTCCCAGTTGGGGCACATGCCCAGGTTGCAGGCTCGATCCCCAGTGTAGGGAGTGTAGAAGGAAGCCAATAAATGATTCTCTCTCATCATTGATGTTTCCATCTCTCTCTCCCTCTCCCTTCCTCTCTAAAATCAATAAAAATGTATTTTTTAAATAAAAACAAATATATAATTTCTGATAAAAACAAAAGCAAACTTATCTACAGAAAATCATTCTGTTCTTAATTTTCTACTCACAATGGCATAATTTAAATAACTGCAATGAATTTTATCTAAAAATTTTGGGGTTAAAATAGAATATTGGCTGTGAATTATTTTTCCCAAATTGAAAAAAATGTTATGGTTTCTATCTCAATGAAAGCTACATAGGAAAATACTTAAACTTACTAAACATAATTGCTTTTGTTTTTGCCCCTCCTTTTCTAAATCCATATGTCCAATTTTAAATTAATGAATGTTAAATAGTAACATCATTCAAAATTAAAATAACTGGAAATTTATATCCTCTTTGATTACATAACATTTTAGTTAATAAGCCATATTTGTGGTATGCAGTACACAACACCTTTGCTTTTAATGTTTTCCATGACAACTACCTTCAACAAGATCCCGGATACCACCTAAACATAACCAGCTTTAGTAAAAACACTGAACCTGTTTCTGGAAATTTCCTAGTGTAAATAAGATCACAATCATTTTACTTTCCATACTAGCTTTTCTCTTCTGTTTATGACCAATAACTAGTCTATGTAATTTTTCATATAGCTAGCAACTGTATTATAAAATCCAAGCTATATCATGACTACTATGCAAGTTAAATAGCATCCTTATACAAAGATGTATAGTCTTACTATAACTATAGTTTTAAATCTGAATTGTAATATATTTACATAAAAGCTTTACATAATGTGAACTATCTTATACCTTTTGTTTGCATTCATAACAATTTGATGAAAACAGGATATTTATTAAAATTGATCAAGCCAAAAAAAATAGCAATGATACTTTTAAAATTCTTACCTCTGTAAGTCGAACTATCATGGCTTTTATTTTCACTCAGAATCCGACACAAATGCAAACTAGAAAAAACAAAAGTAGTCTGCATTAATTTCAAATCTTAACAAAGATGATCCTTACAGAGCAAATTATATCAACTAAAAATATTTGAAAATATATTCAATGTCAACATCCATTAGTTTAGAATGAGAATAAAACAAACCTAAAAGCCATAATTGGTCAAAACTAGAGGATGCTAGTCAATCCATTATTTTTAAAACTGGTAAAATTAACTAAAAAAATCAATCACTTATTCTGCCTTCATATATGAACCAACGGTTGATAAGAAATGTCTCTGTACTTAAGTATTTCAGCTAATAAATAATGATGGAATGATAGAATTACATTACCATTTTAATACTCCTAATAAATTAAAAAACCTAGGCATCTATGAATGGCTGTTCACATTACAAAAAGAGACAATCAGACATTATGTGCTTCCTGATCCTGATAAAGGAATATTACCACCCATCTATGATGTTGACTTAAAAAAAAAAAGGCACGACCTAAATTCTCACTGTGGAAAAGTCTATAGGGCAGTGATGGCGAACCTTTTGAGCTCTTGAGCTCGGCGTGTCAGCATTTTGAAAAACCCTAACTTAACTCTGGTGCTGTGTCACATATAGAAATTTTTTGATATTTGCAACCATAGTAAAACAAAGATTTATATTTTTGATATTTATTTTATATATTGAAATGCCATTTAACAAAGAAATATCAACCAAAAAAATGAGTTCGCGTGTCACCTCTGACACGCGTGTCATAGGTTCGCCATCACTGCTATAGAACAATGAGCCAATCTCTTCAAGAAATATATTGCTAGGAAAAATAAAGGATGGTGGGGGATCCTCAGAGTAAAAAAGGCTTTAGAGACATATCAATCACAATGTATGGATCCTTATTTGAATCCTGTCTGAAACAAGTATTTTAAAAATTAACATTTATGGACCCTGGCCAGTTAGCCCAGTTGGTTAGAACATCGTCCTAATACACCAAGGTTGTGGGTTCAATTCCCATTCAGGAAACAGACAAGAATCAACCAATGAATGCATAAATAAGTGGGACAACAAATCAAGGTTTCTCTCTCTCTCTCTCTCTCTCTCTCTCTCTCTCTCTCTCTCTCTCACAAATTTTAATAACCTAACATTTATGAGTCAACTTGAATATATGAGTAAAACTCTATCTTTAAGAGATAGATGCTGAAATATTTACAGATGAAATTATATTTATTTCAACAGAATGGGGAAATGGGTGGTATATAGATGAAACAAGATTGGCCAGACAAGAAATATAGAGAAAACTAGGCATACAGAATTAAAATGGCAATAAATAAGTACCTATCAGTAATAACCTTAAATGTAAAAGGATTAAATGCTCCAATCAAAAGACAAAGGGTAGCTGAATGGATACAAAAACATGATCCAACTAAATCAGGGGTCCTCAAACTACAGCCCGCGGGCCACATGCAAATACAAATATTGTATTTACTCCCGTAAATGTAATAATCTGAACAATAAAGATTTAATTAAAAAAATAAGTAAATACTATCAATAATAACCTTAAATATAAATGGATTAAATGTTCCAATCAAAATTGATAGGGCAGCTGAATGGATAAGAAAACAGGGCCTATTTATATGCTGTCTATAAGAGATCCACCTCAGAACAAAAGACTCACACAGGATGAGAGTGAAGGAATGGAAAACAATTTTCCATGCAAATGGAATGAAAAAAAAAAAACTAGGGTAGCAATCTGACAAAATAGACTTCAAAATGAAGGCCATCACAAGAGACAACAAAGGTCACTTCATAATACTAAAGGGATCAATCCAACAAGAGGATATAACCCTGGTAAAGATATATATACCCAATATAGGCGCACCTAAATATATGAAAAAACTGCAAGAGGACTTTAAGGGAGAGGTTAATAGCAAGATAGTTATAGTAGGGGACTTTAACACCCCACTGACTTCACTGGATAAAAAAAGCTGTAGTACATTTATACTATGGAATACTGTGCAGGATTTAAAAAAAAAAAAAAAGGATCTCTTACCCTTTGGGACAGCATGGAGGGACCTGAAGAGTATTATGCTAAGCGAAATAAGCCAGTCAGAGAAAGACAAGTATCACATCTCACTCATATGTGGAATATAATAAACAAAATAGATCCAGAGACACAGAAGCATAGAACAGACTAGTGAATCTCAGAGGGAAGGAAGGAGAGGGTGGGTGGGTAGGAAGTGATCAACCAAAGAACTTGTATGCATAACCCATGGACACAGACAATAGGGCGGTAAAGGCCTGAGGCAGGGGGCAGGAATGAGCTAGAAGGCCTGGGGGGTGGAAGAAGGGGACATATGCAATACTTTCAACAATAAAGATTTTTTTTTTAATTGTGTACACAGCAAAGGAGACAATGAACAGAATAGAATTGAAGAAAATACTTGCAAGCCATATATCTGATAAGGGGTGATATATATAAGGAATATCTACAACTCAACAGCAAAAAAAAAAAACTGATATAAACATGGGCAAAGGACTTGAACAGACATTTCTGCAGGGAAGACAAACGGTCAGCATGTACATGAAAAGATGCTTGACATCACTTATTATCAGAGAATGGGAAATCAAAACCACAATATCACTTCATACTTATAAGAATGACATTATAAAAAAAATAAAGATACCTGATAAGGACTGTTATCCAAAATATACAAAGAACTCTTAACAATCAACAATAAGAAAATAAACAACCCAATTTAAAAATGAGCAAAAGGCCCTAGCCAGGTTGTGGGCTCAATTCCCAGACTGGGCCCTTGTTGGAGGGAACCAATCAATGTTCTGTCACATCAATGTTTTTTTATCTCTCTCTCCCTCTTTCTCCTCCTCTACCTCCTTCTCTCTCCCACTTCCAATCTCTAAAATCATTTTTTAAAGAGAAAAAAAAGTACTGATCAGAAAGCCAAAGTGACAAATTTGACTATATTAAAGTGCATGACTTCTGATTATCAAAAGTCACCACTGTAAGAACGGATCTGCAAGCTAAAGAATAACAAGATATTTGCCACACCTACAGTGTTACACACAAAAGATGCCAATACAAACTATATAAAGAACTCCTACAAAACAATGAAAGAAATGCAATAGAAAAATGGGGGAAATGCCCTAGCTGGTTCGGCTCAGTGGGTAGAGTGACGGCCGGTGGACTGAAGGGTCCCAGTTTAATTCTGGTCAAGGGCACACGTCCTGGTTGCAGGCTCAATCCCCAGTAGGGGGTGTGCAGGAGGCAGCCGATCAATGATTCTCTCTCATCATTGGTGTTTCTATCTCTCTCTCTCCCTTCCTGTCTGAAATAAAAAAAATATTTTTTAAAAAAAGAAAAAATGAGAAAAGATACAAAGACCTTTCACAAGAAATAAGAAATCCAGCCCTGCCCGGTTTAGCTCAGTGGACAGAGTGTCAGCCTGTGGACTGACGGGTCCCAGGTTCGATACCAGTCAAGGGCATGTACCTTGGTTGCGGGCACATCCCCGGTGGGAGGTGTGCAGGCAGCTGATCGATGCTTCTCTCTCATCAATGTTTCTAACTCTCTAGCCCTCTCCCTTCCTCTCTGTAAAAAAATCAAT